GAGAAAGAGATGGAGGAGAAGATGGAAGCGGTGGGAGAGGGTGCGGATCTGGTGTAAGTGGCAGTAAGTGGAGAGGAAAGGGGGTAAATTGTCTAATTCTAAATATCATGCGAAATCGTTAAGAAATATTCGGCGTAGGGTTTTCCGTGAAGGGAGATCGGAGGCGAAAGATAGTAGCCTCAGTGTGTGGAGAGTAGCGTGCAGATCGCAGCGTTGGTGGGAAGATCGACGACCCACTAAAGTGAGGGAAGAGACATACAGATTTCAGAATTCCGAACGACCCACTGGAATTATTGCGATTAATTAACGTGGGAGGAATGATAAACAGAGGAAGAAAAGATTCAGAAAAGAAAACTTGTAAAACTTTCGGTTGAACCTTGTACCTAAATGTGGGTTGAGGATAGTCGATTCGTGGGCGGCATTATCTCAAGAGACTCTCCAAGCTTGGCGCAGTTGCACTGACTCAATTAAATTTCACAAGACTCAGAAAAAATATAGCGAATTTGCGCAGAGAGAAGAAATATGTCACTCGGAAAAGCCCTTGTATATGAATACTCGAAAGAAGTGAAGTGACTGACTACTACTGAATAGTCTAGAGTGCGAATAGACTAAATAGCTTATTGAAGTGTATTGAAGTGGTGACTGCCTTGAAGAAGTGACGAAGTGGAAGAGTGACTGACTGTCTGTCTTGTAGTCGTGACGAAAAGTCGAAGAGGCGAAGAGAGAGATCCACAGCGCGAGGTCGCAGTTTTATAGGGTATCAGCTGGGGATGGTTTGGTAGGAAAAATGTGAAATTTCGGAGATGCTAGGTGTTGGATTCGTTAAAGGAGGAAGATATGAGATACTGTTGCAGCCAGTAATAAGCGAGGAGATAGGGTTAAGAAGATTTCCTTGGGGTTGTGAAAATGATCCCCTTGGGGGAGAAAATCGTACGTTTAAAAGAGACGGTTATTGGATGATTTTAATTTTATTAGTGAGGGAATCTTTAGATAGGGCGGAAGAGAATGATGCAAGTTGAAAAGTATAACGGATATTTTGTTTGTTGTCCGGCAGCTCTTTTTGATTTTATGGATAAGGTCCGGCGGCTTCTTTTAATTTTATGGATAAGGTCCGGCGGAATATGCTTTGAGGATTAGAAGGGTTTTGGTTCCGTATTTCTGTTATCTGGGATTATCGTTGGAATTTTTATTGGGAAAAACGGGAAAACCGATTATGATTAGAAACCGTTTATCGGGTGCCGACAGGAGGAAGGAAAGATAAATTGTATGGTTCATGTCCGTGCAGGACGTAACACTATATAAAGAAAATATTTATGCCGCAAACTTAAACCCTACTAATAGTTAAACCAGTGAAAGGCCATAATTTCTTTTAGTTCAATCTTATATTTATAAAGTCGTCTTAAACTTAAAAAATGAAAATAAAATAAAATAAACTTATTTCTTTTAGTATCTTAAAAAATAAAAATTAAAAAAATTAATTTGTTTACTACAAAGACGGTTTCATTACCTATACAGCATCTGAATAGGAAGTTAAGATGATAATAAATATAAAATTTGGCAATGAAGACTAGCCTAAAAAAAAGATTATTGAAGCACAGCCATGATAAGAGAGATATTTTATAGAAATCTAAAAGAAAAATTACACTTTGGCATAAAAGTAAAGGACAGAGCAGCACATAATTTTTACTTTTTACAAAAAGAAACAATCACTAATTAAAAGTTCTTTAATTTTTCTGCTTTTTTTACCAAGATGTAAATTCTCCCTAGAAATGTATGTCATATTGCAACCAATTGAAAACCTATTTATCACTTTTTAGTTTTCTCCAACTTACATTTATATGTAGAAAATATATTATATTGTCTACAATACATTATGTATGTGACTCTCCTTACCTCGACGTTTAATTCGTGGATTTGCGGGAGTGAAGCCACACACTTCACGCACGCAATTATAGCGCCGTGATTTTTGCTGGCGACAAGAGGAGCCAACTTCTCTTCCAGATTAGGAAATGAACTCGTAGTAAGAACGCAGACGAGATATCGTGGGTTTTAGTCAATTTTTCTTTACTTCCTTAATTAACAACAAACGTTAACAAAATCGACGAATGTGATCTCGAAGCACGAGTTAAGCACGCGGAATATAATTCCTGAGAGTGAAAGAATTGTAACGTGAAATTGAGAAATTGAGAACGTGCGATGACTTTGACAGAAAAACTGTTACCGTTAGAAAATTATTCGCAGTCTGCCTGGTCTTAGAGTTCGCGTGCTATTTAATAGTCTAACGTCCGACGGTGGCGAGACGGTATTGGTCGCTTTCGAATTTGAGTGTCGTTACTAAAATCGGTTGCTAAAACGTATGTTTACATAATCGTGGTTCTTATGTGCCGAATCAACGCACGTCAGGTTCGGGAAGCGCGTCGACCGAGGAGCGAATCGAGCCGAAATCACGCAGTTGACACGTGATTTATTGGAACGATCGCAACGACTTGAAGCTGCTAAATATTTTGGAAGATTCTCACAGTTCGCTATTGAAAGCTTCGAGAGTCCTTCAGAAAATTACCGAACGCGATATCAATAATAAACGCATTGTCCCTCTCTTTCCCTTTTCTTTTCTTTTTTGATCCTAAACATGCCGCCCGCCTTGAAACAACGTTTCAAACGCATTCACAAAATAAATAAATAATTGGGACGGACGGCGTGAATTACTTTACTATTGTTAAATCGAGTGCCCATTGCATTGAGCTGAAACGAAACGAGATTATCCTAGTTGAGGTAATGATAAGCGCAATTGAAAGACATGATAAAGAAAAAAAAGGAAACAAATGAATAAAACAAAATAAAGAAAAGAAAGAAAACGCACGCAATGATAAGACGAGTCGCATCTTATTTACATTTAGTCTGTTCGCAATCGACTGGAAGTAGACAAAGCTTCACGATAGGTCGGCGATACTCCGAATTAGAGGTTCGGACAGTTACTACGCGTGTAAGATTATTCGCCCCGGGGGTGGCACTGAATCACCCGGCCGAGCTCTCATTTACAGGGAGGTAACGTAGAATTGCGAAGAACGAGTCGTCCGACTTTGATATTTAATTGTTCGACACGCCACTTGCTTCGGTGCTGCAATGTATTCATATAGTCGGTATACTATTTTTTCCAAAAAATCTCAGTTATCTGACGAACCATTTGTCATCGAGAAAGCCGATTCTCGTTGAGACTGAGGACTGATGGCTCTGGAGTTGTAGTGATCGCGGACCCGATAAGGAAGTGACCCGGGGTCAGAACATTGTAATCGTCGATCGAATCAGAAAGCGGAGCGATCGGACGCGAATTCAGGCACGCTTCCACGCGACAAAGCAGAGTAGTGAGCTCTTTGAACGTGAGTGTATGCTTTCCCACGTGAGTGTATGCTTTCCCACGACTCTCCGTAAGTGGTATTTTACGCTTCGGACTCCAGCCTCCCACATGCCTCCAAAATGAGGCGCACAAGGAGGGAGGAAGTGCCAGGAGATTTTATCGCTCGTGGTTTTATTTTAAAAATTTGAGTCTCGGAGAGCCGAATGATAAGCGGCGTTGAGTTCCCGGTCTGCTCCGACGAATGTCATGCCGTTATCGGAATACATAGAATTAGGAAGACCTCGACGGGCGCAAAATCGAGAGAACGCGTTTGGGAAAGAAGCAGTGGAGTAATCCGCGGCCAATTCACGGTGAATCGCACGGGTGGCGAGACAAATAAATAAGGCGATGTATGCCTTACGAGTTTTAATTCCCCGCCTAGCGGAGGCGCGAACAAATTATGGTCCCGTGTAATCTAAACCACAATAAAAAAAGACTCGTGAAGGAGTGATAACGCGATAGACGGGAAGATCTCCCATTAATTGCGGAGGAATTGCCGCTCGTTCCCGCGTACAGACAACGCACCGGTGAATTATCGCTCGGATCAAACTGCGCGCCCGTAAGATCCAAAAGTCATGCCGCAAAGTGCTCAATGTGAGCTGAATCCCGGCGTGTAAGGCACGCGTATGAGCCTGCTCGATGATGAGATTAATTAAAGGATGCCGCGCGAGTATTATCGGTTGTCGTCGCGACGGAAGAAACGGAAAGTTACGCAAACGTCCTCCGACGCGAAGAATCCTGTCGCGGTCTAAAAATGGGCGCAGAGAGTAAAGGGAACTTTTGGACGAGACATTTTTCCCGTTCGCTAACGTATCGATTTCGGATGCGAACGTGTCCGTTTGAATTGCTCTTATCCAAAATACGCGAGCCTCGTTACACTCGCTAGACGTTAGAGCGGAGCTCAAAGGTGCAGACACTGGACCGTCCGTTTTAACGCGACGACATTTTGAAATCGAAAGATATATGCGCTAATTCGAATCAATTTTGGCCATAACGAGTACCGACATGCGAGATCACGTCCTGGCGGTGGCTGATTGCAATGTGCCGATACAATCTTTTCTTCAGCTGAGGCATCATCCGGAAGAACAGTTGGTGGGTTTGACCACGCATCAGGCATACGATGTAACCAAGGCGGCCCTTGCCACCATAAAGAATGCGAAACTAATTCGGCTCCGAGGAGCCCCCGGGATGCGCAATCAGCCGGATTATCCGCCGTCGCGATGTAACACCATTCTACGTTTGGCAGGCGCGATTGTACGTCTGCGACTCGATTTGCGATAAACATCTTCCATCGCGAAGGATGCTGGCGAAGCCACGGTAACACCACCATGGAATCTAACCAGCAGAAGCACGGCACATGTTTCAACGAAAGTGTATCACGAATAAATTCCATAAGGAGAGCTAAAAGAACAGCTCCCGTTAACTCAAGTCGAGGAATACTGAGGAGTTTTAGCGGAGCGACTCTTGATTTCCCACAAAGAAAGTTGATTGTGACTTGTCCTGATTTAGACACGACCTTTAGATAGACAGCGGCCGCGTATGCCGCATTAGATGCATCTGAAAACCCATGCAGTTCCACACTTGTGATATCGGGGCCATTGCCGGTCTATCGATTGAGACGCAATTCACGGAGAGCGGATAACCCGGAATAAATGTTTCGCCAGTGATTAAGAAGCGTAGGAGGAAGAATTGAATCCCAGTCGAATCCTTCGCGCCAAAGTCTCTGCATAAATATTTTGGCAGTGATCGTTACAGGAGTGACCCATCCGAGCGAGTCATACAATCGAACGATCGCAGCTAGAACTTGACGTTTACTTTCAGGAATGGGATGTTCGAGAACGGCAGAGATCTGAAACATGTCATTCGCGGGATTCCATTCAATACCGAGAATCTTTAGAGTTTCGTTGGAGGATAACGATTTCGGGCATGCTAGTCCGTGATTTTCGGCATTAATATCATTGAGAAGACGTGGAGAATTCCCGGCCCACTTGCATAACTCGAATCCACCGCGTCGCAATAACTGAACGAGTTGCTCCTGAGTTTGAACTAATTGGGAGATCTCATCATTTCCGAAAAGAACATCATCAACATACATATTTTCCCGAAGGATCGACATCGCAAGCGGAAAATGGATGCCCTCGTCCGCTAACTGCTGTATCACGCGAAGTGCTAAGAACGGAGCGCAAGTCATTCCGTATGTTACCGTCAGCAACTGATAGTCAATCGGTACAGTTTCTGAATTCGGTTTCCATAAGATTCGTTGAAAATCAAGATCTCGCGAATCAATGAAAATCTGACGATACATTTTTGTTATATCGGCTGTGTACACGAATTTAAAATTACGCCACTTGAGAAGAACTGTAGTTGAATCACTTTGTACTTTTGGCCCTGCTAAAAGATGGTCATTCAGACTCATCCCGTTTGAAGTGGCACAAGACATGTTGAAAACTACTCTTAACCGCGTCGTAGTGCTGTGCTCGCGGAGCACTGGATGGTGAAAGTATATGTACAGCTTCCGTGAGACAGGGTGTGGCCTATTTTTCGGTGGTGGGGGTAAAAGCTGGCGCCAGTGTGTCAGGGGTGGGGGAAGGGGGTCCAGGGGTTAGATTGGGGTGAGTCGAGAGTGGGGAGGATCCCGAAATAGAATAGTGGGGGAATTTTGCAGATTTGGTGGAGGAGGGTAATATGTGGAATAAAAAATTATTAATATTGGAAGTTGGGGCGGACGATGTGTCGCCCTCGCTGTAAATCGGGTGGGATTATTTAGGGTGATTTATGTATATTATTTTATTACTTTTTATTGCATCGTTTCTTACGGCGTATAAACTTCGTCTCTTGCGGCATGAGCGTTGTCTGGAAGTTCCGAGTCTCGACTGATGAGTGAGTCGAGAAGGAGTAGGTAACGATGGGAGGGAGGGAGGGAGGGAGGGAGAGAGAGAGAGAGAGAGAGAGAGAGAGAGCAGTTTGGACAGCTATGGTTATGCGATGTTTGGTCTCGACTCCTTTGATTCTTACGTTGAGCCAAGAGGGGAAGGGAAGGAAGAGTATTATTCACGCGTGCGTCAGCATCGTGGAAATTTCTGGAGTTTATCGAAGAATATAGGTATGGATAAAAGAAGGAGACGTTTTTGAGGAAAAGAAAAGAAATAAACATGTTA